GTGATTAAATTCATGGCGCGAGGCGGGGCGTTTGTAGCTTAGCGGTTAGAACGTTGGCCGCCGGTAAAGGTCTTCTCTGATGCGCGTGTTCAAATCCCGCCGAACGCCTTGAGTTTTTTCACAATTGGGTCAACTTAAACTTGCACAGGTGTTTGCCTTGTTAGCGAGGAAGCGCTGACCTCGCCAACGTATACTGATTGCTGAGGGAGCACATGAACACTGCTGCTCAGAATAAAACCCGTCCTAAAAAGCAGACCTTAGCACTGACTTAGCAGGATTAAGAAGTATCGGCAATTATAGAGGTGACCGAGGTCCTTAGATATCCCTAGCCCCAGGATTCTGTCTTACGGGAGTGGTGTAAATAAGGGTTTTATGGTTGGGTCATATCACAAGATAAATTAAATAGTAGACCGTATAAAAACAGAAAATAATAGGAAATAGGAATAATAGGCAATAACGACACACTTGCGCGCGATAATTACAATGACAAATGCACCCGAAAGTACTTGCAAATAGGCGTGCAAATAAACTGAAATTTAGAGATTAAAATAAAACCATGAAAGTTAGACTTTTACCCTATTTCTTTAAAATTCGCAAAATTTTCTAATGCACTTGGATAAATATTATAGGACGATAAGCCGAAAAGCAACCGTATGTCATTAAACAAATTAAAACTGTAACTAATAAACTAAACTAAAACTGATAAAACAAAAAGTAACCTCATGAAGCCAAAAACTTCCGAGTTTTGGGATGCAGATGTAAGCAATATTAAATTACATATAGTAATTTAACCCCTACCCGCCCCCTCCCCCTCCCTCTGCATTGGTTTAACCCCTATTGACTATAACTGCCAACACTTACAAATACTGTGAGGCTTGGTACAACTACCACCTCTGATGACGGAAGCCTGTACGCTTTTGAAACGTCAGGACGACAAAACAATGGTTCCCGAGATCGTCTTATCTTCTCATATATATATATTCACTCAGAAATGTGCGAACACCGATCGAATAG